TCCAAGGAAGCTTAATACGTAGTACGATATGTTTATTCTGTAGTATTCTGTTGAACAATTTTCATAATTTCTTATAATTTTATTCATAATTGAACTATATCTAATATGCAGTAATTTGTTGATTCAAATTTCGTAAGATTTAATTATCCTAACTTGAAACAAAACCTCGAGACATGGTTGTTAATATTAATTCCATTTAATTTTGGATTAGATTATATAAGAAATAAATGTTTATTTACGAGCGATAAATTTTGATTTACATCCCGGAGTTCAGGATAATTTAAAATTCTAAATGCTCCGGTAGTTTACAATTCTAAATCCTGGATTCTGATTCGATCGGAATCTTTCGTTCCCTTAAGTTTGCTCATGAGCTTATTACCTTAGCCGTATCTAAATATTATATTTTAAATAAACATAGAGCTAACCATCGCGATCTTTGTACTATTTCGGAATTTATTCCTTTATTATACTCTGCTATGTTTTCAACTTGAAATACCGAAATATATGAGATAAATTAACGAAGTAGATGAAATTTTATAATGAATGAATTTTCAAAAAAATATGAACACGTGAAAATTTAATGCGTAAGCTACCCAAAAAAACAAAAATTTAATCAAAGACAGAAACTAAATTCGCAATCGTTGACTGTCCACTCTTCTCGGTTATGAAGAACCACAGTAGAAGTTTTGAACTCTCACTTTTGTTCGCGAAAATATATTGAAAAATTTGCCATCTTGGTTCTTAGTAGTGATATTCCATTTTGGAATTATAGGATCATACGAATGAGTAGAAAATTATAGATAGAATTGCAAAGAAACATGTAGCATTATTAGAAAAACTGGATGTACGCATACGGTACAAATGTTATTTAGCGTAATTACATTTTACGTAACGTGTAAACACACGATTGTTCTGGAAGGAGAAGATGCCAACAATCTATCAGATAATGCAGTAATATCCTATTATAAATATTCTTTCAATATTTATTTGATAAAGAGAGATTCATGAATTTGAAAAGAAAAAGAAAACAAATATTTTAAAAAACCGCAAACAAGAAAATTAAGAAGTACATGGATAAAAAATTTATACAGAACACGAGCTATTTTAAAGTAGAAGATTTGCTACGAAACATGCAAATTCTAACAGGTATATAAAATTCTATCAAATCAAGGAGAGATAACGCATAGTTTTAAGTACTTCTTTCAAACGGAACTTAAAAAGTCACATTTAAATATTACATCTAGATGTGCAATTAAGATAGTAAAGCCAACTACCTATATTAATTTTTTTATATTTATGGCGAATCCATAAGAATTTTTTTACGAAATTAAAAACTTTTGATACAAATCAAAAAAGGTTTCATTGCTCCATTCGCGATGTAGCAAAATCGTAAATAAATTCAGGTACTGCTTTTCTATAAGAGGAAACATTCTTTGATTTTCATTATTGTAGAGCATCAGTTAGTTATCTTGCATCAAATTTCAATAAATTGAAAATATGTAAACGTTCTTTTACAAACAAAATATATGCAGAAAAATTTATACGGAATTCAATGTCCAAAAAGTATATTTCTATGGCTGTACGGAGAAACACTGCATGCCACATATTTTTACTTTCAAGAAACTGTCATTTAAAATTTTGATCATCGATACTCATTAATGTTTAAATAAATTATATAATTTTTTTGAAAATATAAACTTTGTTTCTATCAACTGTTCTCTGATAATTTACAATGAATAAACAAAAATTTTTTGAAATCGCGACATGTAGCATTTTTCCTTAGAGCCACAGATTTGTAATACTCGTAGACTAAAAGCAAATCAAATATTTGATGAAATTAGGTGCAATAAAGATAATGTTCTTCAAAAGAAATTCAATGAACAAACGTAAAAGAAAAGTATAAAAAGATTTTATAACTAGGAATTAAATAATGGAAGTGATTTGTAATGATCGTAAAAATGCTTTTGCTCTTTAATATACAGATGTTTTCTATTCTATTTATAAATGAAAGTTTACAATTTAGTAGCTTTGTCTTTTGGTATTTTTTAAACAAAATTATTTACTATGAAATGTGACACAAATATACGCTTAAATCTTCTTTTCCGCTGTATTTGTTTCTACGATTCGCAGTTACACATATTTTTAACAACCTTTTTTATATATATATACGGTTCTTTAAACATATTTTTTAAATTTATTTTCCTTAAGTTTTAATTATTTGTATACAATTCATAGAAAGTGTTACGAAAATCGCACGTGTTTTGAAGGAATACTTTAATTTCTTCTTTCAGATAGTATACCGTACAATGATGTTGTATTTTTTTTCCTTTTTTTTTAATTCTTCTACTTGTATTAATTGACGTTCCTTTGTCAAAAGTTTTATATTTTGTTAGAAATCACTTTTTATTTAATTTTTACTTTGTTTATTTGATACGCACCCATCGTATAGAAAGAAACCCATATGTATGTAATTTGTCCTGAATTCAATTCTTAACAAAATTTGTACAAATAATCGCATGACAAGGAAATCTATACCACAGCTAGATGCGTATTGATATCTTGCAAAAGGAAAAGATATCAATCTTATCATCGATGATTTCTTTATACTTTCTGAATAATGATAAACGTAAAATTGTCTACCCTATATTCCTCTGTAACATCAATGTGCGATTTGAGGGATTCTTATGTTTCATAGGAAATTTGATATTGCAAAGTTCATTATTCATTGGATTTGTTAATCTTTAAGACTTTGATAAGAAATGTTAATCGGTGATGTATATTTGCTCGTTTTCGTTAGTGTTAAGGGTTTATAACGCAAAGAAATAGTAGCCAGTGGGAAAACTGTATAGACGTTTATTAAACGGGCTAATGGTTAGAACTGGCCTGTCTGTTTAGGGCTACGCAGGTGAAAAGACGTCTCCGCAAAATGGGAGATAAAAGACAAAACGTAGGGGAAGGAATCGCACCTACATCGCTAGGATGCAGAGTTTATTTTGGTATTTAGTTTTTACAACAGTTAGTGATATCTGATTATAAAGTTCATTGTTATACATAATGATTATTCACAGCTCTCTCGTGTGTCGTTACAATGAAACACGATTTTTCTTTCTCGAGTATTTAATAAAGAAGAAACTACATCCTGCTAACTAAATAGGTTCCCCAACTTTGTAATTCTTCTACCTCTGATTTTAGTTATTAATCTTGTCGATAGGGTGGCATTTCAAAAGAAAGTCTCCTTTAATAATATTTAATAGATAAAACGCAAGTTTTACATTACATTCTTAAAAGTTTGTTTAAGTCAGTATGTGAGGTTTTCCATGAATTCGCAATATTAATTATTCGCGATATAAATTAGTTTATAACAATAGCTTATTTTAAAAGATTAATAAAACGCAGGAATTTCGCGTATCCAGTAGTGTAGTCAATACAAGAGATAAAAGAGTGAAAAATAATTTGGTATGAAACTTTAGGAATGCAATAACTATGGCATCGGTATTCTATAATCCCCGGAATCACTGTAGCCAAAATACTTTAAAAGGTCATGAAAAGATTTTAGCTGTTATCTATTAACGTCTAGTACAAATAATCGTGATTACCGTTGCGTAATAAGTATTTCAACGCATAATGAAAACTAGATCTTACGATAAAATCCATTTTATGAAGGGATATCTTTAGGAAGAAAAGAGATAATATATACATATCGGAATAGAATATGCAAGACATGCATATAAATATGAAAACGGACACTTGGTGTAAATATTTATTGTAAACGCTTGAGATCAGAATGCGAGCCAAGTGCATGACCAGCCAAGGTTACGTAGGTGGCCATAACCGAGCGGGTCTGGGAATATTTACATACACAGTTTGCCTAGATTAACTGAAAGAAGATGCGAAAGAAGGAAAGAGAGGACATGCAGGTGTTAATGTAGGGTGTTCCTGCTGTTAGTTAATCCAAAGGCAGTACCATCGATCACGCCGCAGCGATAACTCGTCTTCACACTTTCATTTTCAGTTTACATACGTAAGTATACACTTTCATATATTTACACACATCCGTTGCTATGTGTACAAGTAAATATGTATATAGGTCTCGGATGTGAAAGTGAAGACCGGTCGACAGATCACGCATACCGACACCGCATTATCGCACCGGTATGATCGACGATACTGCCTTAGGGTTAACTAGCGAGAGAATTACCCTATGTATGCATGTATGTATGTATATTATGCGGAAGTTACGTACACGAATTCATTTTTCATTCATCATTTTACGGAGTAAGGATTTTACGACTGCGTTCGTATCGCGATATGTGGAATTTTATGTTTGCAAATGTTTAACTGTAATTTTACTTCGTATTGCAAGTATTTTATAACTCTACCTTTTTATTCTTCCGAGAGTAGCGAAATAAAAATTCCAACGCGAATAATATAATTAAAATTTGCGAGTAAAATATTAATGTAATATAAAATATTAAAATAAATATAATATAAAATAAAATTAGTGAAATATTTTATTACTTCCTCATACTCGTCATAGTAGTATCAAAATATAATTTTTGCAAAAATTAATTGTAACGAAAAAATAAATGAATGAACAAAAATTCAATTAAGATTTCGAGATGCATATACAGTCTCATAGAAGTAATAGAACAACCTCTGAGAAGATATATCGATGTTGAAAAATCACCGAGTACTCGTGCACTTGTTTGCCGTAAATTTTATTATCGATATCAATTTTTACTCTGATAATTTCTTAATATGACTAAACGTATTTATATTACGCGATAATAATACAGCAAACTTGCAATTATCACATGCATATTTTACAATTATAGTAACAAATGTTGTCTCGAATTGTAACAAATGTTCGATATTTAAAATTTTGATTTCTATTTTTCTACGATTATAATGGAAAATATAAAATGCGGAAAGCGTCGATAAATTATACCCAATAAGTTAGGATAAAATTTTCATTTGTTTACCTTTTTGCATTTTTTCAGATTTACCTTTGATACCGGAAAATGTGCAAATTAGACAGCAAAAGAACAATTTAATTCTGCTAACTTGGTATAATTCCAAGACCCAACGTACAAATGAATCTATGGGAAACAAAGATGTGAGGTATCTGGTGGAAGAACGACATTTACTTGGTCCAAGGTACTTGGAATCTAGATTAAGTTCTTGGACGGTCCGTCACGTTTCAACGAAATCACATGCAACGCTTCGGGAACGATTAAAAACAGGTCACTGGTACCAGTTTCGTGTAGCAGCTATTAATGCAAATGGTTCTCGAGGATACTCTGAACCATCCAGACCATTTAAAACGAGAGGTAAGTTGGATTATTTATCTTTCTCTCTTACAAATCCCTTTTACTATCAACTTCTGTTTATCTAACTGTTTACCGTATAATATCGTTTTATATCAATAAATTCCAATTGCTAAAATACAATGGTTTCAATCCTTATGACAATAACCACAATTTTTGTACTTTTCTATAACATCGATATATGTATATGTAAGTTTAGTTCAAGTGCTCTTGCTTGGATAAATTAAAGAATTCCACATTTTTCTCGTTATTCTCGGATAAACTTTTTAAGGAATAAAAAGAGAGAATGAAAAGCTTCCGTGTTCAAAAATTAGATTCGGTTTATAACAGTTTCGCTATTTTTTAAAATTACCGATAAATACTTTATAATACATTTTAATCGTGTCGAAAACTATTCAATGCCTCGCGTCATCTAGATATTGAATTAATTTTCTTTTTCTTTCTTCTTTTTTAATAAGGCGCATTAATGATGCATGGAAAAGTGTTTGCGATACTTGAAACACGTTGATAGAAAATCACCTGCATTCAGTGGGTACAAATTAGCGTATCCGTTATAGAAATGGATCCATTTTGTACGCTGAAACGGACAAGAGGAGAAAGAAAAGAGAAAAAGGAGAAAGAGAATATTCTTGTTTTTTACATAGATTAGAATAAAATTTTATCAAAAGCTTTCGAGGATCATGCGGGAATTATTTGAAATAAGCATTATCGTCTTTTGGTTTAAGAATACATTTTGAACTATTTGACAGTAGTTGGTCCAACCAGAATCACAGCGACATTCGTATCAAATCATTTTTCCACAACAATTGATCGAAGTTAATCACTCGAACGCCATATGAAATTATCCAGCAACCGAAATATCGAGGTTTATGCAGTACAATCTCGATTATCTGCATCTTCGTTATTCCAATTTTCCATTATCCGGATATAAATATTCGAAAATAAATATTCTCTACTTTTAATTCCGATAGCTGTAAATTTTTTATCTCGTCGCTAAATTAAATATATTTTTATCATTTTTTCAATGTTTGTTTCGATTACATTTAATTCTCTTCTAGTTTCAACTCCACTGTTTTACTTACAATAGATGTGGTACGAATGAAATGCATACGTGCTATACACTAAACACAGACGAAACATTGAACTCGGGCATTTCAGATATGAACAATACGTGTTTCAAAATGTAAACATTATTATGTATAATATTTTACGACTCGCAATGCTGTGAATGCATGACTCATTCCGTTGCTTCGGATAATCGATTTTTCCGATAACAGATATTCGAGATATTCATTCCTCGTTTTACACTGCAGATAATTTCTCCATTTACTTTTTATATTATATTTCATCATGGACTTCTTATACAAGGTATCCATCTACGCGATCTGAAAAAAATATACGTATACCAACCAGTCGCAAATTTTGCATTCAGTTTCCGGTTTCTAGTTAAGTGCTTTTCTATTTTACTTGCAGATATAACATCATTTGCAAAAGTACAGTACAAAATGCGCGTAAAGAAAATCATAATATATCCATTACCTATTTCCATAAAATTATACATAGTAAATAAGAAAAATTATCGACAATCTTAGATATAAATAACGTAACTCAAATATTTTGAGCGACGAAGATAGTGGTTTTATTTTATTTGACAAAAGCAAGAAATTGGTTGCTTTAAATTACAATATTCGAAATGGCAACAAGTGCAATTTTCGTTTGTTTCTTTGAATTTTTATTATTACTGTGGGGGTTCTCCCCCACCATCGTTTGAGTTCAGCTGGTCGCAGGTATCCTAGGTGACGGCGTAGCTAAAAAGGACGGAAAGAAAAGGAAGGGATCCGTTTCGTCCTGGGCCTGCTAGCGGACTCATCGGTAAGGTTACCCTAGCAGGCGCTGCTTTGGACACTTTTTTTTTTTTTTTTAAACACGTTTATTGTGCAAGGAAATCTTTACAAATATATGAATTCAAAGAAAACTAAAAACGTATAAATGGTTATACATGACAACTTAGGCTGCGAGATCGATGGCTCTAACATGAAGCACTCGCGATCTTAAAACTAAACTTAAACTATCGCGCTTATCGCTTTAGGATAATATATACTTAAGAACTATCTTATATTAGGTCGCGTGTTTGGCTGTGTATAGAAAAGGCACGAAAACTATACAGTATATGACTTTAAACGGGTGAACTAGATTAATAACTAAATAAATAAATAAATAAATAAATAAGGGGGAGGAAAGGAAGGCGGAGGGGGGAAGGGTACATAGATTTTATTTATTCAAAGATTATTCGATACAATACTTATGAGTATGAGTAATCTGAAAAATTACGAAAGACAAAACAAAAGTGACTAAGTAAAAGTATGAAAGAGGGAAAAACAAAAATTAATCTTCTCCCCGTCAGGGATACTAACCATTATACTAACGAGGGTCTTCTGACCGGTTTTATTTATTTACTCGTACATGAAAGTTTACAATATTTTTAACAAGTGTATAATTTGTGTTAAAGCGAATCGAGTCACCAATATTTTTTTACGTCTTCCCGGTATATTTTTGACACTTTCATGTTAATTTTCGACGCGTTGTTACAGTTGCCGTCTGTGTTATACAGAATTGCTGTGTTGCCCGCTTTCCTAGTCACGTGATAGATGAAGGGTACATTTTCGCTATTCTGAATGTACCCCTGACCATCAAGATGTAGAAAAGCTTCTGGGGGCGTGTATCCCGTGTATCGGGTTTTCTCTAAGTATTGCGAGTTGGGGTAAACGGAACTGTTTATTAAACTATTACTTTTCATATTTCTAATCTTTGCCCAATAATTTCGGATCAGTTTGAGCATGAATAAGTCTACTCTGACTATCTCCGCGTATTCGTAAAGTTTATTGTTTCTGATTGATTTTGTGAACTTTGACTCCGGAGTCCGATATTTGCCAAGACAGGCTCTGAGGCGTTTCCTCTCGAAAATCCTCCGTTTCTCTATCGTACTTGCCGTTACGTTGAACCATACGGGGCAGCCATATGTCAGTATCGATCTTACAAGTGTTCTGTAGCAAATAATTTTCCTTTTCGCGCTTAGCAATTTCGAATAAAACAGACGTTTGTGAATGGCAAATGCTTTCTGAGCTTTCTCGATCTGCGTTTGGACATGGTTGATAAAGTTTAACTTGTAGTCCAGATGTACACCTAAATAACGAACCACGTTTTTATTCGTAATTTTTACGCGATCGTCTTTTCCGACGTGTAATTGAAAGTGTTTCGAGTGCGTCCGTACGTCGTTGTTCGCGTTCGAGAACCGTGATATATTTGGCCTGAATAAAATGGTTTCGCATTTACTCGTGTTGATCTTTAACTTCCACGTGTGGAAGTAATCTTGAATTCTTTCGAGGATTTCTTGCAATCGCGTTTTCAATTTCGAGGTTCTACTATCTCTCATATAGATTAGTAAATCGTCTGCGAAAGCTACCGCGAATTTATTGGGATCGTTATTTAGGTCGTACATGTGGAATAAATCGCTTGTGTATATGCTAAACAAGATGGGGAAGTTGACAGTGCCTTGCTGCAAGCCATTTTCAATAGCAAAGGTTTTCGGGGACGAGCAATTGTTTTCCGTAACAATGAATTTTTTACCGTGTAACATATCCCAGATCATTTTGACAAGTTGTGGTGGAAAGCTCCTATTCGTGAGTTTAAAGAGGAGACCGTCCAGTCACACCGTGTCAAAAGCTTTCTCCAGGTCTATTAGGAGCGCGCCTACGCATTCGCTGACGTTTCTCGCACAGCAGATGTCCGATGTGAATTTCGAAATCGCGTGTACGGTCGAATGTTGATACCTGAACCCGAATTGTGTCTCTGGGATAATACTATTTTCGTCACAGTACGTTGTCAGTGCTTTGTTTATGACAGTTTCGAAAACTTCGCTGATATTCGCTAGAAGGCTAATAGGTCGGTAATCCGTTGAATTACTTCCCTCTTTGTCTTTTTTCTTTATTGTAATTAATTTTGCTGTTTTCCAGGCGGTGGGAAAATACATTCTATTCAAGCAATTATTGAATAGGATCGCGTACTGCAGTGGCAGGTTTTTGAGCGCAATAATAGGAATGTTGTCGAAACTGGAGAATTTTTTGTTATTTAGTTTTTTGAACGTTAGTTTCAATTCTGTGAATGAGGTGAAGTAGTCCGAGGGTTCGCGTGTGTCGTTTGGATCGTCCGCCGTGTTGTCGTTGTCGAACGTGCAGACAATCTTGTCGTTGAGTCGGTCTTCTAAAATGTCCTGTCCAAGTTTGTCGGTTTTCTGTCGAATGATGCGAGAAAGTTGGCCTTTTCCCATGTGTATGTTTTGAGTGTGCACTGATTCGAAATGGTTACCGAGTACGTTTAGTTTATGTTGTGTGTCAGTAATAAGAACGTCAGCCTGGCGAGGGTCGAATCGTACGTTTGCGTCTCGAAGGAGGTGTGCATTCGCCACAGGAATTTTTAAGGTTCCTATGGCTCTTGCCTCCTTCGGTCGGAATATACTATTAATGGCCTGAAAGAATTTCGACGATTGACGCCGTGAGATACTGAAAATTTTCTTTTTCCAGAAGTTATTCACCGAATCGTGGAAAGCTTTCTTAATATTGTAGGGTATTTTTAGACGTCGCCAGGTATAGAGGTCCCGTTAGCGTCTGGCGGCCAGACGAGTCTTGGGAAGTTGGGGCCAGGCCACGTGAGGTAGCCTCGCTCAACCCCGGTTTTCCCCATTGTAAACCGGGGATGACGCGTCCGTGGGCACCTCTCGGGAAGGGTCCCCGCGTGGGTGACCCTTCGGAGAGCTTAACCCGAAGGAGGAATCCCTTCCATCCCAGAGCGTTACGTGGAGGGAGCTTCCTCCCCCTTCGGGGGAGGTCCATGCCTTCCAGACGGGCTTAAAAGGGCCCGCTCTGGAAGATAGAGCGGGATTTGAGATAGTCATTAGAGTTGAGATAGTCATTGGCAGAATTAAGATAGCTTAGAGAGAATCAAGA